CATTTGACTCAAGAGGTGGAAGGACAGTATGTTTCTCCCAGGGTGAAGGACAAACCTGAGAGAAATGGTCTCTTAACCCCTCAGAGACTCCTTCCTCACCCTTAACGTGGTGTTTTGGTCCCTGTCATGGAAGGGTGGACTGTCCCATTGCAAATATATTTCTTTGGTATATTTGGGATTCAGAGAAACCATAGGCTTTGCAGTCACAGGACTAATTCTGAAAAAGCTGTCTTTTTTGTAAAATAAATCTGCCTTTGTTTACATTAGTACAGTAAATGCAGCTGCAGACAGAGGTGTTTCTAACTGATACCCACTTTCTGGTTGGACAAATCTTTGCACAGGAAGAAGAGTCAGGGCATCTGACACCTGGCCCAGATAGATGACCACAAGCGGCTGTCACCTGAAGACTCATCTACAAAAACCACAGTCCTGGCTTGCTGTGTGTATCCTCCTCCAGAGGAAAAGGCGTGCACAAGTTTCTGAGTGGTAGGAAGTGAGTGAGTAAACTCAGTCCCTTGTGCTGTGATATCTTTCTGTGTGCTAGTACAGCCGTAGGCCTTTCCTCCTGTTTAATCTGTTTATTTCAACAAACCTTGGGTGTGTGTGGGGGATATTCCTTCACCTTCACTCCCGGCATTCAAGCATCCAACGTGTTTCCACTCCTTACTAATGGGCCCGTAGACTCATCCTGGGTATCTCTCAGGGCAAATTCTTCAGGAGAGGGTCTGCTTTGTGAGAGAACTGATGGCGGTGGGCTGAGTAAGAGTCTTTGTACTACAGCACTCTGACGTCCCCCTTTGACTTTCACCAAAGTAGCAATGGTCTCACAACCCTCCCTCTGCCAAGTTACTTCTGCTTCATTCTGTCTTTGCCTCACTTTTTCCACCCCAAAAATCCACACTGGATTCTCTTTGAGAGCTGGGCAGGTATGTCTGCCAGGTCATTTTCAGTCCCACTCCTCTAAGAAATCCAAGCAGGACCTGGCTGAAGCTAGCTGGGCCCACACCCACCCAGCTCTTCCTTGAGCTGCCTATGGCACCCAGCAGGGAGGGAACATCTCAGAACAAAGGAGGCTCTCCACAGTGGCTAGGCAGAGTTCTAGTGTCCAAGGGCAGCCATGGGAGGGGTTAATGGGTCTTTGATGGCATAATGACAAAGATGGTTTTTCTTATCTATTATTCATGGTTTGACTTGCAAGGTATTTTGGATGAATTTTCTATGTCTGATCCCCAAGAGGAGAAGAGAGAAAAAATGAACCCTGAGTAGAAGGAGAGCAGGAGTTAGTTTCCTGTGTCTTCTGGATTGTATCACTGTGGCCAAGGGTATGATAAGCACCGTGCTCCATTTTATCCCAGACCAGCCACTCACTGGCTCTGTGACTCAGAAGAGTCATTAAGTGGTAAGTAGCACCTGCCACCTTGAGTTGGTAGAAGGCTTAAATGTGAAACACTTAGTTCAGAACCTTGTCTAAAGATTTTCTTGCCCATCTTACAGATATGAACACTGAGTCTCAGAGAGGGTAGGTAACTCACCAAAAATCCCACAGCTGCTTCTGTAACTCCCAAGATTGCATCATACTTATGGGTAGTGGCTCAGCCACCAAGATTTCTTGAAAAATCTCATCTAGTATGATTTTCACTTTTGAGAAATCATCTTTGTGCTAAATGGGCTTTTTGCTGGCAGTTGTGGAGGGACAGACAGGAAAAGTGACAGGTGGGAGAATACCCTGCTCAGACCAGTCCCGTATCTGGCTGATCAATGAGGGCACTCAGAGATAGACTTCCCAACAATTCTAGAATTCCAAGAAATCACTAGAGCTTTCGGAAGCAGCTATGTCCCTGTGGTTCTCAACATAGGCCTAGAATTTAGACTTGAACTTGCTGGCCCCCAGTGAGGCTGGTCCCCAGTGGTCACCAGCACAGGCTTTGCATCAGGCAGAGCTGCTGGTGGATCCTGGCATCTTTGTTCCATACTCAGGGATGGTGACCAAGTCACTGCACTTCCTCTCAGCCTCCTTTTCACATCTGCAAGGCAGTGCTGAACAGTCACAGCCTCTAAGAGTTATCATAGAACTGGATGCAGGACGTGCATGAGAGCGTGCACCTGTCATCCCTGCTGCATAGAAGGATAAGAGTCTGAGACCAGTCCTGGGCAAAAATGGGAGACCCTCTCTGAAAAATAACTAAAGCAAAAAGGGCTGGAAGCATGGCTCGAAGTGTGGGTCAAGTGCCTGACTAGCAAGTATGAGGCCCTGAGTTCAAACACCAGTGCTGCCAAAAAACCCAAAAACCTGGCATGAGAGTTCACAAGTGCTCTGATATTATTTCTTTGTATCATCTGTGCTCTTACTAATTGAAGAGCATTCTGTAATGTCTTGGGGAAAAGCAAATCATTCCTCTTGCACATCCATTTACCTGGAATGGAAACCCACTTAGTGACCCAGCCTTCTGTGGGCCCCTGCATTTGGGCTGAGTGAGCTGTGCAGCTGGGCCGGCTGGGCCTAGGAGGCAGCACTTCTTTTACTCACATAAAAGGACCCGGTTGAGCTGCTCAAGAGAGCCAAGTTCTCCAGGATTGCCAGGGACAGAGAAACTGCCCACAGTGCTACTTTCTTAGCTACCTGGCCCCAGCTGGCCCCTCCCCTCCAGCTTGCCCAGGACTCCATCTTCCTGAGGAATTGTCCTGCTCTGAGCCTAATTGTGGTCAGCAAGGTGTCAAGCTGGGTGAATTGGGCTTCCTGGCACCCTGGGCTGCAGTCAGGATGGCCTCTATGGGAATCCTCACTGGCCAGCAGCTTCCTGGGCTACCTTTCCCAGGCCCACGTGATGTTTAGGAGGCTGTTTCTTCTGACAGTATTGGCTTTCTTCACTTTTTCTACTTTGGGCTAATTATTATTATTATTATTATTATTATTATTATTATTATTTTGACCAGCTAGGATTGTATAGACAGTACATTGTAGGGGGTGAGGACACAGCTTCAGGAGGAGGGAACCTGGTTCCAATAGGTTTTTATTTTTTTAGCAGTAGTAGGGATTGAACTCAAGGCCTCTCAAGGCAAGTGCTCTACCACTTGAGCCATACTTCCAGTTCTTTTGCTTCTAGTTTGTTTTCCAAACAGGATCTCATGCTTTTTGCTGAGGCCAGCCTTGGATCATGATCCTCCTACCTCTGTCTCCTGAGGAGCTGAGACAACAGCCATGTGTCCAACCTCCCAATAGCCTTTAAAAAAAATACTGTCCAGCATACTTAGTGAGGCAGGCACTCTCTGGAGCATTGTGCCAAGACCTTTCAGGGATTCCAATTACCCCATAAACTCTCCTGACACCTCCCAACAGATAAGGATATTCAGGCACAGAGAGGTAAAGTGACTTTCTCAAGGCAGCATAGCATGGGGTAAACATGGCATGGCATAGCAAGGAAGGGACCCAAGGAAGGGAAAGGCAGAAGAGGGGAAGAAAGAAAGAGGATGGGGAGGAATAAGAGGTACCACATTGGTGGTGTCACAGTCTTGTCCACAGCTATGTCTCCTCTGCCCCAGAGATGTAGGTTCTGATGGACTTAGCCACTCCCCTCAGCTTGGCTGGAGGCTGTGTGGGGATGGGAAAAGAAGGTCAGTGAGGATTGAAAGAAAGATTTATGAAGATGCAGAGTTGCCTTCCAGAGCGGGAAAGCACATTCTAATAGATGTGGCAGATGGATACAAAAAGGAGCATCATTCGTGCGGAGCCTCAGGGAACCCTTTAACTGGAACCTGTGTTTGGATTCCCAGGACCAGGGAGCTCAAGCTATCTAAGAAGTCATGAGCACACCGGAGCCTAATGCAGCCTGGGTCAGAAAGACAATGAGGGTGGCAATTCCCTTGGTTGCTAGTTTAATTTTTGAATAAATGAACAATTTCAGATGTCAGAGTCTCTGGCCCGCTAAGAAATGCAACCTTAGTTATTTGCTTGTGTCTTCTACGTGATTTCCCTCCCCACCCCCACCCCAGGGTTTCAGCAGTTTCCTCTTCTCCATTCCTAAAAGATCCTGCATTTCCTTTGCTGAGCTCCTGGCTTCCTGTGTGCTAAGCTCCTAGCAGTGCTCATCATGTCTTCAGAATACATTTGATAGGTTCAGGAAGCTGTACCAGACAGAAGATGGAACCAACAGTCAATTCAAAAAAAAAAAAAACCTATGTTTCTAAGAAAAAAAGCATCACAGCCTCCCATAGGAGTTGTTTGTGTACCATATGTCCTAATATTTGTGCAACAGTGTATCTAATTTGTATCCCTTCTGCTTTCCTCTCCTGGCCATCTCTACAAGAAAGAAAACAGATCTTTTCACCTGAAGATCCATAGTGAAGCTTACCTCTCCTTTTACCCATTCATCAGATATCACAAAATAAATTCCTGTCATCCTCTCCTTCCAGCCTTATTTCTCCTGGCTACTAGCTTAGTGTATTTATGGTGCATGAGTCATCAAGCTGCTGCCTGATTGGATAAAAACCAAGCACCCACCCCCCCCCAGACCGTCAGTCAATTACAGCTATTCTCAGCTTCATTCACAGATTTATTAGCTTGCACACACGGAGAGAAATCATTCGGCAAAGTTCATTCATAAAAATTTCAACACTCTGCGTATCATTCTGCACATCTCAGCCTTCTGCTGCGAATGGGGCTCCTGAAAATAGCTCCCAGAGGAATCCAGGAGGGAGGGACGCTTTGAGGCTGGGAGGGAATCCGAGGGACACCAAGGGATGGAAGGATCGCAAGTCACAGAAACAATGCGGAGCAGCGCCTGCCACTAGGACTCCTGGCATGTGGTTCAGAACGGGATGCAACACAAGATCTTCCAAAAGAGGGCAGCCATCAGAGCCAACCAGACAGAAGGGCCTTTGACTCATGTATACACTGTAATTTTTTTTCCCTTTTAAAATGAACAATCATTGGAACAAATAAAGGGTTAATAGGCCAGTCGTTGCCCCGCCCCGTGGGAGCAGGTTTGAAAGTTCCTGTGTGCAGAAGGGGAGGCTAGGGGTGGGGAGGGGGGCGCTAGATATTTCTGCCAGGCTCCTGAGAGGCTGGAGATGCGGCGGGACCCGCCGGCGGGTGCTCCGCTGGGTTCTCTGCGGAGGAGTTGGCGGTGAGCGATCCCCACCGCCCCAGAGTCCGGGCTCAGCTTCCCCAGCAGGGACGCCAAGGCGACAACACTAGGTGCCAGCTGCCTGGGCCAGGGAGGGACTGAAATCAGAGCCGGGGAGGCATCTCCCTGGGCTGTCACCCTTCAGCGGCCCGGGAACCCCAGTCCTGTGAGGACCAGAGCAGAATTGGCGAGGTGGCTGCAGCGTGTTGCACGGGGCATTTGATGTCCGCCTGGGTTATCTAGCAAACAAGGCGATTTATGCAACAGTATCCTGTTTCAGCACTGCCAAGGCTATGCGAGAACGCGGCCAGGACAGCCTGGCAGGAGTCGTGCTGTATGTAGGACTCTTTGGGCACCCCGGGATGCTGCACAGGGCCAAGTACAGCCGCTTTCGGAATGAGTCCATCACGTCCTTGGACGAAGGCAGCCCTGGAGGAGGCTCGGTCGGGAACAAGGGCTCGCCGCAGCCTCCCTACCCCGCCCTGGCAGCTCACCTGCCGGCCGAAGATGCCACCTTGCCGACCCAGGAGAGCCCCACCCCACTGTGCACCTTGATCCCACGCATGGCCAGCATGAAGCTGGCCAACCCGGCCACTTTGCTGAGTCTGAAAAACTTTTGCTTGGGTGCCAAAGAGGTTCCCCGGCTGAAGCTCCAGGAGAGCCAGGACCCGGCTTCCAGCAAACCCGCTTCTCCTGAAACCAGTCAAAGTAGGACCGGGTCTGAAACTACACTGCAACCGGACCTGATGGGGCCCAGGGCGACCCCATTACCTCCTGATGCTTGCCCACTTCCGGGCCCTGGAGAGCCAAACCCCAGGAGCAGGGAGGACAGGCACTTCCTGCAGTGCCTGTTGGGGACCGGTATGAACTACCGCGTGAGGGTAAGTTCTTTCTTCTCTCTGCACCCCTGACAACTCCTGGGCTGTTAAAGGAGCAACTTGTCTCTGACAACTTGTCAAGCTGCTCTCTGCAGCTGTACCCTGACCAGCTCCTAGGTTTGAACAAGACATTGTGCAGTTGGACCATAGGAGGGGGAAACTGACTTTACACATTTCCCTACTGTTATCAGGCATGTACCAGAATCAGACAACCTTTGGTTCAAAGGCATGAACTGGTGTTATCTTGTAAATAGTTGCTGGTGTAGGGACAACTTCTGATACATGCAGCTGAGATGGCAGCTTCTTGTCCTCACTGAAGCTAGCTTTGCGGCCAAGCAGAGTGAAGGATTTCAAATTGAAAAATGATTGAGACCTGTTAGGTTACACTGGGATGAATGCAGTAGAATTCTGTGCTAGGGGAATACATGGTGTCTAAGGGGATTGGATTAGCTTTAATTTTTTAAATCAAGCATTGAACAAACACTTCTCAAAACATGGCTGAGTCTCTAACCTTGAGCCCAATAGGAGCTACTCTTAGCACTTCACTATGCTGCAGCAAGTAGGCCTTCTCCCTGGGCTACGTGCAAATCAAGGTCCTTATTGGCCAGGCATCTGTCCTTGCCCAGTAGAGATCTGGGTAAACCAAGGTTTGGTCCCTGACCTTTCAGAGCTCAAGGAACACATGTATAACAACAATAAATTTAGCAATTGGTGCCTAATGTGAGAATGTGGGAAGGGCTCAGAAAAGGGGGAAAGGTGGCTGTGATCTATGATTCACTCATATGCAAACCTTCAGGAGAAGGTGCATCTTGGAAGATATTATCAGATCTAGATGGCAGAAAAGAATTTCCGAGCGAGGGCAAGAATAGGATCGAAGCCACTGTGGTGGCTGTTGGGGAAAGGGAGCATACACAGGTAGGGCTCCATCAAAGAGAAAGGAAGATGTTAGTGAGTAGGAGAATAGTGAGTGAGAACAAGAACACTCATACAAGTACAAATTAAATAAAGACAAATGCAGACCATGGGTAGTTCAGGGAGGACGAGGCCGTTGTTGAAAGCTTCTCAGTGCCAAATGAGGAGATTGTTAACACTCTGATGGTGGGCAAGAACCCTCTTAGGTTTGTAGGCAAATCATGGCTTAGTGAAAGTAGTTTTTTAAAAGATCAGAATATCGACTTCTTTGACATGGATTGAAGCAAGGGAACATGAGGGACTACAGTGAGAAATTGTTGTTTCCGTATGTTGTGGGTGATGGTTGATGAGGGCTGTGAAGAATGAAGAATAACTTCCAAATTTAAGTCTTGGGATGCCATTAGTGATGCCAGTGATAGAAGTGGAGTGAATGAAGAAGTAGGGGGGGCTCTTGATATATTAAATTAATGCTATCTACTGGTGCTGGTTTGTAAGTAGGTAGTCATACAAGATTAGCACTCAGGCAAGAAGTCATATTCAAAGGTACAAACTTGAGAGCTAGTACATCACAGACAGACAACTGGAGTCCCAAGGAAGGCCAAAAATGAATGCTGGAAAGGTCACAGAGGGCACAGGCTTGGGGCAGACTTGGCAAATGGCTACCTACAACCTCTGGGGAAGATAAACATATGAAGAGCTCAGTTCTTGCCCTCCCTGACAGTGAGTGGCTCATAATGGAAATGGGTACTTGTGTCCACTGAAAGTTCATGGGTGCTTCAGTATGGGTCAGGCCCTTGTTGTCTGGAGTGACTCTCCAAGCCTGTGCTCTCTGCACCGGTCTTTATATCACCTCCAGGTCCTCTGCTTTCTGCCTTTACTTCCCTCTTGTGCTTCCTGCCACCTCCCCACGCCCTCATACCTGTACAATGTTTAAGTAAAGCGTGCCGGTGTGATCTCCATTTTCCCTGGGAAGTGTTGTTGCTGGAATTTGGGGTTTTTAATGGGGACACCAGCTGTCTGTTCATAGTGATGATAACTGACCCTAGGAAAAGTGCTGACTCCATAACCCAGATAAATACATGGTGTTGTCAATAGTTGGGACACATGACTCCAGTTAACTACCTCTCTTACAGAGTCAAAATACGCAGAAGAGCTTACTTTCTTAATTTTTATAGGCTATTTGTCAATTTATCAAGCTCAGTACCTTCATGGGGAAAGTGAACTCCAAAGAAATAATTTTTTAAAGGCCACACATCTGAGTCAAGAGCAGAGTGAGCTCTAGAATCCAAGTCTCCTGCATACCAGTCTTAGCTCTCTTTGCCACAGAGTCCCCATCCTGGCTGACATTCTGTTCCTGAGAATTCTTTTGAGATGTGAACCAATTTTTAAAAAATGAGATGCTAACCTATTAATTTACAGTGAAAAATATATCACACCAAGTGAACTGCAATTACAATTCCTATATTCCCATCTGTAGGGAATTTAAAACAAAGCTTGCTTGGGGATGATGAATTCAGATCAGAGAAGTCAGAGTGATAATCTGAATGGCTAGTGAACACAGGGCTAGTGGGCTTAGGAAGAAAGTTGTAGGCAAAAGATGGCCCCATGTTCTACCTCATTATCTGTATCACGTGACTGCTCCCTCTACTCCCAGATTTATTTGCTAACTCATTTACTCATTTATTCAACATATATGTATTGTGAACCAACTATGTGGCAGGAACTGTTCTAGGCACTGAGCATCAGTGAACGAAATAGACCAAGTCTGAGTCCTCATAGAACTTTCATTCTGGTTAGTGCTAATAGGCCATACACAAGTCAGTATAATATTTCAGATGGAAGTAAGTACTATGGAGAGCAATACAACAGGGTAAGTGGAAAAGCCAGGCTGCCAGGTTGTGTGGTACATGGTTCTAATCCCAGCCACAGGAAAGGTATAGGTAGGAGGATTGTGGTTTAAGGCTGGCTCTGGGTAAAAAAGTGGAACCCTATCTAAAAAGTAACTAACCCTCCACCAAAAAAAGAGGAAGAGGAGTCAAGGGGTCTGTGACTCAAGGCGTACAGTGTCTGCCTTGTAAGCTGAGACCCTGAGTTCAAACTCCTATAAAAAAAAAAAGGTCAATAGATTGGGTAGAGATGGAAGGCATTCCTTTTGGGTAAATAACTAGCATTGTCACAGCTTGCCTTTGTTTTCTTGAATCTTTATTGTGGTGAAAACTGTATTTTCCATCTACCCTATGTTAGAATTGACTTTTGGTTAAATAACTTTTTTTTAAAAAATGGCTGTTCTTTTGGTCTTAAAACTAAGTAATAATGTTGAAAACACTCTATGGATCCTAAGCACCTATTTTTGAGTAACTTTCACTTAAACTCTGACTTTGAACCTCCTGAAGGTCTCTCCGGGAAGGTGGCCCAGCAACCATTCTTTGACAGATACCAAGCCAGGAATGGGACAGCCAGGCTCCAGTCTGGGCAAAGTAGTCAAGTGAGTGCAGTCCCTTAAGTGTTATCAAATGAAGACTTTTGTTCCCACTGTAAGAGTAAGTCTTGTTTCTCTATGAGGCCTTCCCAAGGCACTTCATCCATCAACAAACACTCATATAAAGGTCTCTCAGGTGCCAACATAATCTGTGGTGAGTGTAGAAATACACAATGTGCACAGGGCTCTCATTTCTAAAGTGAGATTCTTGTCCTGCATGTGCTTGAAAGGTTCTCCCAGCACCAGCATTTAATAACTCCAGGGCTCCTTTCTCTCCATGGGAGGTACTTAAAAGTGTTTTTTTTCCCCACCATACCCCAACTCCTAACTTGGTTCAAAGACTAAATAAAACCAAAGCAAAGAAACCAATCCTGAAAGCTTTACCAGGTACCACCACAGTAGTCCTTACAACAGGGACTGTGTTCTTCAGGTAAGGACACTGAGACCCCAAGAGTTTGTGACATGCTATACAATTGACAACTAGTAAGAAAACTGTGGGCTCCCATCTAGGTGTGTCTCATGCCATCGTTCCTCTTCTGTTTACCCTCTCACCTATCTCCAAGGGAGCAGACAGTCTTAGAAGTTTGAGAATGGAGTAGTGCAGATGAAGGACCACACTGGGCAGGAGAACCTTATTCTGGGACCAGCCCATAGACCTTGCTTGCCTGGTTGCACTAATCTGCATAATTTTAGTCCCCCTCACTTCAGCCCAGTTTAGCCCTACCATCTCCCCAGACTGTATTGGTTTCACAGAGCTGCTGTAGCAAGTACCATAATCTGGGTGGTTCACAATAACAGAAATGTATCCTCTCATAGTTTGACAAGAAGTCCAAAGTGAAGGAATTGACAGGACCATGCTCTCTGAAGGCTCTAGGGGAGGAACCTTCCTTGCCTCTAGTGGATTATGGTGGTCACCAACGATTCTTGGTGTTTTGTAGCGTGTAGATGCTTCATTGCAATCTTTGTCTCTTCACATGGCATCTGCCTGTGTGTCCATGGCCAAATTTCTCCTTTATTAGAACACCAGTCATTGGGTTTTGGGTTCACTCTAATCCAGTATGATCTCATCTTAATTTGATTACATTTGTAAAGTCTTATTTCTAAATAAGGCACATTCATAGATTCTGGGGGCTAAGACCTGAACATATTTATCTGGTATTTTTAATTCAAACCATAACAGTCCCCAAAACCACTATTGTAATTCATATAGGTGTTCTTGGGTTCATCAGTTTTTCATGCAAATACAAATTTGTGTTAAGGGATTTTCTTTCCTTCTTTTGTAAATATAACATTTTCTCCTGTTTAATGTTATATCTTGGTACTGAGCCAATACACTGCTATTGTCAACCTCTGTGGCTTAGACCAGATGAAGTGCACAATACTCAAATGTGTCTACCTCAAGTGTCTTTTGCATAGGGGAGTGCAGGTCTAGAAGTTAGAAGGCCTGGGTTAAAGTAATGACTGTGACACTGACCAGTAGTGTGACCTTGGGTGAGCCACTTCACCTGTCTGGGCTTCATTTTCTCATACTTTAAAAGAATTTTGAACAAGATTCTTTCCAGGTTTTCTTTTCCACATATCTAAAATCTCTTACCGTTAGGTTCTCTTCTAC